AGTGAAATTTCATAAACATTTTTTGTTTTATCAGATCTGCTGGTGTGTTTGACAACTAATTCGATTGGCATATTCCTCCCTGTCTCTTTCTTCCTGAAATCTGTTCCAGGTGTCTTTGCATCAGATGAGGCACCTTACCTTTTCCTTGGCATCTCACCTCTATTGTTCATTGGAGGAAATTCTTTAGTTGGGCATGTGGATTTATCCTATGTTCATCTCCTACTCTCTTCATCGGGTGGCTGTTTCTTCCTCTTTGGGTACTGCCTTCCGCCATCCTTCAAACTTTGGTGAGGCTGTGACTGGGTAAGTTATCTTTTTTGTATATACATTTTCCTTTCAGTGGCATGTTCCTTTTAGTTTAGGATCCTGCTTAGTGGGGAGCATTGCCTGTCCAGGTAGGCTATTTCTCAAATCCGCACTGTATGGCCAAGATGTGTACCCATGCCGAATAACACACACTGTCGAGATGGGATGTTCCACAAAATTGCTAGTAGGTTTCCTTGTGATACATATACTTAATTAATATGCCTGTTCATGGACTCATGGACATACAAGGGTAAAGCAGAAGGGGATAGCTGTTGATCCCTGCCATATTTTCTATTTAATAAATCAAGGGTGGTTTGCTTTTCACAATATGGTTTCTGTGGTCACTCATTGCACTGTAATCTACAGGCATTCTACTTGCATGCAGTGGGACCCTGAGAGTGTTATTGCACTCTAACTTCTATGCAGTCCTATCCAGGGGATTATGTTGTGCACATGTCATGAAAAGAAGTTCCACCTCCGTGTGTTTGATCTCAGTGGTTGGTGCTGTGCCCAGCTTCTGTGTGGTTCTATCTGGAGGGTGAGGTTGCACGTCTTTTACTGAAGCAATCCATTTCTGTGTGATGGGACCCAGAGGTTGATATTGTGCTCCAACTTCTGTGTGGTCCTATCTAGAATCTGATGTTGCTTTGGAGTAGATTATCACATTTGCAATTCATCCCTTTGATTAGGATCCCTCATCCTACCATCAGCTGGATGTTGGTTCCTAGTGAGTGGTTTTGAATTAAAGCTGGACTAATCAACATAAATCCTCACATATGTTGGCTGTGATTACTCATCCTAACATCATTTTCGTAGTTTTGCTACATATTATTCACTCTATTGTGGTGGGTCCCAGAGGTTGATGTGCACACATGCACTCTGACTTATGTGCAGCCCTATCAGGAGGATGATGATGTTTGGGGCAAGGTTCTCCCTCTAGTGCTCTGCCTTAGAGAGTTTCCCTACCTGAGGCTGCTGATGCACTATGTGGTTTCAGTCATATTGAATTTGGTTGGATGTGAACTACCACATTGGAACATCCCTTCTGGCTATCATTCGGATGTTGAGTTCCTAGATGTATGAGTGGTTGTTGATTTGTGCACATATGCTCCATTTAGTAGAATGATTTGACCAGTATATATTTCCATTCTACTTAACTTGAGGTGAAGATGGTGTGGACTCTCTTCGTAACATGGGTTGGAAATCTTCATCTCAATGCCATTTGGTTTTTGACTTGAGATGATTGGCCTCTTATGGTATGTTGTGCCGTAGCTACTCTACACCTTGAAGCACATCTATTTTAGCATCCCCACTTTCCTGTTTGTCGATGGGTCTTCTACAGTCTTTCTTCACCAGAATTGAGATTCCGTTATATGGTGGTTTGGATATAAACCTGCTCAGTATGCATAGTACAGAATTGGTGATATCTTCCACATATATCCCTCTCCCAACTGGGATCACAATTCATGGGTTTTCTTCAGACATTTCTCTTCATTGCACTGGTCCCTCTACCTTTTGAATGTGGGATTCTATTTATACATGTGAGAAGAGGTAATGTACAGTATTGGAAGTTATTATTTTCCTATACTGAAAATATATTTCTGATAGGTATTTACTTCCTATCACACTTTCCACCCTTCCTCTCCACTTAAAACTGGTGCTTTCTCTTTTCCTAATTTTGAAGTGATAGTTTGGTAGAATCAAATAGAGAGAGAGTCACATGTCAGGAGGGTATGTCGTATACCTGCTGGTGGAGGGTTGTCTCATGATGAGTTACATGTGAGACACAGTAAACCATTTTGATTATGAGAGCTCAAGGCATGTAGCATGCAAAAAAAATTTACATATAGGGCAGCATTGAATGAGAGTAGATATATATGTGAAAGGAGCTAAGAACCTATTGGAAACATATTTTCAGTATAGGAAAATAATTACTTCAATAACTTATGTAAAGTCATTAAAGTCTTGGACAGTTTTTCAGTTGTCTTCAATTATGACACTTTTTGAACCTATTAGGAGAATTCCTTACAGAATAGTAGTGGTTATTCAGACAGATGATAGTGCTACACTTTTTTGGACACAAGTTCTTTTTAATCTGTTCTGTGATTCCATGTCAGAGTAATAATGTGTGTGTGTGTATGTATATATATATATATTGTTACGACAGCAGAAGTCATTGTGATGCAAGTAACACATCATGAGCTTCTAAAAAATTCATGTCCCTTCGT